GGGTTGGGTAGGTTAGGTTAGGTTAGGTGAGGTTAGGTGAGGTTAGGTGAGGTTAGGTGAGGTTAGGTGAGGTTAGGTTGATTAGGTTAGGTGAGGTGAGGTTGGAGGTGAGGTTAGGTGAGGTGAGGTTAGGTGAGGAGGTGAGGTTAGGTGAGGTTAGGTGAGGTTAGGTTAGGTTAGGTTAGGTGAGGTTAGGTTAGGTTACGTAATTGGCTAATATCTGAGTGAATCATCATCTCAAGAGTCTGACGTGTGTGTTAAGAATATGACACACTAACAATAACTCTTCCACTTCTTCCCGTGATTAACACAGGAAGGGCGAGGAATACTTGACACACACACACACACGTACACACACACACCAGTCTAAGTGTGTGTGTGTGTGTGTGTGTGTGTGTGTGTGTGTGTGTGTGTGTACTTCCATTGTATACATTTATTTTACATGTGTACTCTGTGTTATGTAGTTATGTATAATGTATATTATATAATACGTATAATGTATGCTGCGTACAGTATATAATGACATGGCCGAATTTCACATAAGTTTAAAATACATCAATTTATTTCTCGCCCGACCCTCTGCAGTATATAAACACTTCCGAATACTCAAGCTCGCTGATACATATACAACTATCACCCTAACTATCACCAGTAGGCAGTTATCAATCACCCCTTATCTTACTGAAGGAGAGTACAGCGATGCATAGTGTGAACTTTGACCTCGAGCTGTGATCTTGACTTGAGGAGGAGGCGATAAAGACGTAGAAGGTGTTGATCGTGAAGAGAGAGACTTATACCATAATACATCTAACGTTTCAATGTCTAGAATTACGGTAAGGTTAGCCATCACCACTTGTGTCTACGGTGTCAGGTGAGGTTAGAAGTTAAGTGTTAGGTTAGGTTAGGTTAAGTAAGAGGGTGTTAGGTAAGACGCCTCCCTCCAGCAACGTGAGCCAACAGCCAAGACACGATCAAGTGATTCTGATAAAGTCAGGTGGATGAGACAAGTTAATGTGGGAAGTCAGACGAGTGAGGGATGGTGTGGGTGTTGGCCGGGCCGGTACACCCCCACCACCGCCGCCGCCGCCGTTGTAAGTCTGAGATACAGTTGACTTTTAATAACACTAATTTCATTACTCGGACAAGATGGGAATATCCCTCTTATGTCGCCTAGATGTAAAGTTCATAATTGTGCCCACAGCGTCTATCTTTTGCTCGATCCGGGAGGAGAATAACCCTTCGTCCTCTAGTGTATAAAGGTAATTATGGGGAGGAGAACGAGGGGTCGCAGCGGGGTGATAGCGGCGACAAAAGAGAAGCATTGCAGCCAAAATTCTCCTACTCTCTCCCGCTCCCCCGTCCTAACTGGGTAATGTAAAACGTCCCTAATTCCTTTTTAAGTAATGTCTCGTGATGCCACGCCGGAAGTTGCCACAGCGAATCGTAAACAAAGCGAAACACGTGACAGGTGCACGGAGGTCAGTTTGGGTCATTACGAGGCGAGGGGGGGGGATCAAGATTGGTCATGGTGTGATCGGTAGAGGTCGTCGTCTCATTATTCCGTGTGTTGGGGCTGTGTCGTGTTACAAGAACATAAGAAAATAAGGAGTCTGCAATAGGCCGGTTGGCCTGTGCATGGCAGCTCCTGTCGAGAGTTACTACCACTCTCTATCATCCATGAATCTATCTAGCCTCCTTTTGAAACTTTCCAGAGTTCCGGCACTTACTACAAGTTGCTAAGCTTGTTCCACTCGTCCACCACTATTGTGGTGGTTTCTTCCTATCTCCCTCTAAACCTAAACTTATCCAACTTGAATCCGTTTCTAGGTCCTATCCTGCTCGGATATTATAAGAACTTTATCTATATCCCTTTATTGATTCCTTTCACCCACTTAAATACTTCTATCATATCTCCTCCTCTTCGTCTTTCTAGGGAATGCAAGTTAAGTTTCTTAACCTATCCTGATATGGAAGGTTTCTAAGTCCCGGAATCATTTTTGTCATTCTTCGCTGCACCGACTCTAGTGAATTTATATCCATTCTATAATAGGGGCACGAGAACTGAACCACGCATAATCGAGGTGCGGCCTGACTGGCATAAGATATAGTTGCAATAAGACCTCTGCACTCTTGTTACTTACACTTCTAGATATAAAACCCAATACTCTGTTTGCCTTATTTCGAACATTAACGCACTGTTTTCCAGGCCGTAGGTCCGGGCTTGCAAGTACCCCTAGGTCTCTTTCATAAGTCGACTTCTCTAGGTTGATGTTGTTAAGGCTGTATACATTATAAGTATTTGTTCTTCCAATATTAAGTACGCTGAATTTGCTGGTGTTGAATTTCATTTGCCATTTTTCAGACCACCCCTGCAGTTTATTTAGATCCTCCTGTAATGCATTTGCATCCTGCCCTGAATTAATTTGCCGTCCTATTTTGGTGTCATCCGCAAACTTGTTTATGTCACTGCTGATCCTAGTATCTAGATCGTTTATGTAGATTATGAACAAGAGTGGGCCTAGTACTGACCCTGGGGAACCCACTGGTTACACGGCCCCACCAGATTTAACACCATCACGCTGACCCCTCGTTCTATCGGTGAGCCATGATTTTATCAATTTAAAACTTTCCGTCGATACCATGAACCTTAATTTTTCTCAGAAGCCTCTGATGCGGTACTCTGTCAAATGTTTTGCTAAAGTCTAAGTAAATAACATCGTAATTTTCGTCATTATCTACCTCGAAGACTTTCCTAAAACACGGCAGATTTGTAGACAAGATTTTCCTTTGTAAACCCATGTTGAGAGTCGTAGATTAATTTGCTTTTCTCTAGATGCGATCGGATGCTATCTGCTATAATTGATTCAAGAAATTTCCCCACTACTGACGTCAAACTGATCGGCCGGTAATTTGACGCTGATGCTCTGTCTCCCTTTTTGAATATGGGTACTAATCTGTTCCCTACACTCTTTCAAGACTCGAGGGAAAATTTCATCCGGCCCTGGGATTTTTGATAAGAAGTAGCAGTTCAATGCTTTGCTTATTTCTTCACTGCCATTTATCACTTCTCCCTCCTGACTTTAAAGGCCCAACTTTGTCCTTGACCTTTGTCCTATATACCTGGAAAAATCCCTTGGGATTCGCCTTGGATTCTCTTGCTATTTTGATTTCATAGTCTCTCTTTGCTTTCCTTACATTTTTCTTAACATTCCTAGATAGTTCATTATACCTATTTCTGAGCTGCTCCTCCCTCCCTTTAATTTCTTATATATTCCTTTCTTTATTCCTATGTCATGTTTAAGTTTTCTGGTCATCCACCTTGGCTCATTCTTATTTGACCTAATTTTTCTGTATGGTATATTTTTTCTTGTGCTTTATGTAGTATACTAGTGATGATCAATTGTTGTGTCATCTATGACCTCACCCTTTCCTACTGGGGACTGACGTGACTGTTCCCAGGTGACCTCACCTAGGTACCTTCTTAACCCCTGATAATCCGCCAACCGAAAGTTTGGGACTCTGACCATATTGTCATTGTTTTTCGTTTCCCAATTTAGGGTGAACCTGATTTCTCTGTGATCAGTGTTACCTAGTTCTTCCCCTACTGTGATATCTCTGATAATATTTTCTTTTATTTGTTTATACTAGGTCTAATATATTGTCACATCTAGTAGGTTCTGTAATTAGTTGTTTCCAAAATTGTCTACTGCGTCTAGAAGTCTTCAGATTCATAGTCACCTACAATGTTGTCCCAGTCAATATTTCTGAAGTTGAAATCCCCATAATGCATAGGTTGTTATATTTTGCTGCCCTACTCATTTCCTGCCATATGGGCTGAGCTGCTTCTTTGCCAAGACTTGGGGGCCTGTAAATCACTCCCATAATTAGTTTTTCTCTTCCTTCCGTGATTTCTACCCACACAGACTCGGTTCCTATTTCACCCTTTATTGAATTATTGATACAACATTTTAATGTATCCTTGACGAAGAGTGCCGTCGTCGCCAGCGTCTTAAAATAACGACAAAGGTGACATCGTCTCTTCAGAGTACCGTATACCAGGTGAACTTGTCGTTTTAGGTCATTTGTATAATTATTATACAAGCTAGACGGCCGTCGTTTTAGGTCGTCAGGGTCTTGTGTACTCAGAAACAGTTGTAGGCTGATGGCTAGCGTCTTACCGTCAACTACCTTGTGGTCTATCCATGTGGTCATCATCTTCACTGTTTGGTGGACATATTGTATTCTTCGGGTCACCAACATCAGGGTATAGTATTCCAGTTTTGGGGGGCATGTCACCATCAGGACACAGGGTGGGGCGGGGTCGAGTGACAATCAAAGCACAAGTGTGGGAAGTATGGACGCACCATTACACAGGTAGACAGACTATACATATATCCCCAGGTATCTTTAGACTTTAATGTATCCCACTGCCAGACCTGACCTCGAGGTGGGTCAGCCAGCCACAAGTCATGTACGCCACGGCTCCACCACGGCCCTGTCATGTCGCTATTTATACCTGACACAAGAATACAATATGGCTGCCAATTAATTCATACGAAAATTATCACGATAAATTATTCACCTTCCCGATTATTATCATCTTCAAGTCATATAAATCCGTGGAGCATGTCAGGTGTTACCGCGTGTGTTGTGGCGCCCAGCTGGTCAACCTCACGGTATTCAGGAGTCAAGAATATCTGATAATCAAATATTACACAGAACACGGCCACTCAGGAGGACTATACTGAACACGGCCACTCAAGAGGAAAACACACACACACACTCACACTCGACATGTTGACTCTCCGGCTTCTTTCAGGGCAAATAAGCGGAAAATATCCCAAAAGTAAATAGGACAGATAAGAAGGAGATGGAAAACGGAAATGGAGAGAGAGAGAGAGCCGATGCTAATGAATGTTGGCATCTTTTTTTCTCTCTCTCTCTCTCTCTCTCAGACACACACATTAACTCTTTCTCTGACAGGAATTATGTGCACTCACCATCTCCCTCCCACGCCAAGAGTCACAGAAAGCGTTCATGAGACGTCTTGAGTAGAATATATGACCTTCACCTTATACAGGGCGGAATCTGGTCAGGTCGGTATCTCGTCTTACCTGGAAAGAGAAATCAAGGTTACAAACTGTACTGTGTTGATATGTAGTTTTAGTGTCAATATAATTAATGCCGCAGGGAGGGAGAGAACAAGTTTACATGACTAGTTACCTGTAGACTCCCTCCACCTTTTAGTGGTGGTGGTGGTAGGTGCATGGATTGTGTGTGTGTGTGTGTGTGTGTGTGTGTGTGTGTGTGTGTGTGTGTGTGTGTGTGTGTGTGTGTGTGTGTGTGTGTGTGTGTATGTGTGTGTGTGTGTGTGTGTGTGTGTGTGTTGCGCATTTGCGTGCATGCACTAGTTACAATCACGTGATCAACCACCATTAAATGTTAGTGGTAGTTACAGGACTGCTTGCATGTAGCGAAGCTGTCAGGTCCTTCCCACCCCCCACCAAACCACCCAACCCATTCACATACACACACACACAAAAAACATTGACACCCATAGACCCGACAGACAACGTCCTTGATGAGGCAATAAAACCGAGGGAGAGAATCCCTCCCCATACACCCTGCCATTGTTCCCTTAAGATCAACACATCCAGCAAAACATGGCAGCCACGTAGTCGAGGTCTCCGCTCCGGTTTCTTCAATAAATCTTTCCCTCTTCTCTCTATCCCTCGGTCGGCATCCACCTCTCTTTCTGTCGGCATCCACCTCTCTTTCTGTCGGCATACACCTCTCTCTCTGTCGGCGCCCACTTCCTGTTTATAGTATTACAGAGAATGATAAACGAGAAGTAGAGAAGAGACAGATAGCAATAAGTGTCTGCTTCTGTTTACCTTCGAGGGATCCAGTTTTAATCACAGGTGAGGGTCATGAGCTGTTCTATACTCAGGTGTCTCTCTCTCTCTCTCGTTTGACCTCCGTCCACCTGAAATACCGCTAAAACTGCCCATTGCCAACACACACACACACACACACACAAAAAGAATAAAACACTAAAAAAAAGTCTTACCCTCCCGAGTTGTATTAAATGTCAATGCCATTTTTGTTGTTGTTGTTGTCGTCAGTTGTACTCAATTCTCGACCGTAATACCCAAGAATCTTAAATACTCCCTCGTCATCGAACCCCAAGAGCGAAAAAGCTGACCAAAATCTGACAAAAAATCTGACTAAAAATCTGACTGGCAGGAGTCGGTGTTGTTCTGTCCTCATTCATTGTTATCTACCTTATAACTCTTTGAAGGATGGTAGGATTTTCTTCACAACTTACAACTAACAATAACTAACGCTAATACGTCCTCGTGTGAGTCTAAACCCTGGGAGGAAGGTCGTGAGTGGGATAGAGAGATGGAGGAAAGAGTGGAGTAAAGGTGATGGAAACAGTGGAGCGGGTGACATTTACTTTACGTGCAACTCGAGAATAGTAAATAATGGAGCTCTTATGAATGTTATTGTTAGCGGCGAGATTACTGGTTAACTGGACAATATTAGTGTGTGTGTGAGTGAGAGAGAAAGAGAGAGAGAGAGTGTGTGTTAATGTGTGTGTGTGTGTTAATGGACGTGTTTTAATGTGAGTGCGTGTGCCCAATATGACACTATGATGGCGTCCAATATGGCACTAAGATGGCGACCAATATGACACTAAGACTCTACCATAACTAAATATACATTTTCTTACATAAATTTAGGAAAAATATCACACCTTAGGAATTAATTAACTCAGGGGATACGGATAACAGCATAAGATAACGGGATACGAACCGAAAGGACAACTACAGTCGGGCGAGGTGTTGACTCTTGCTGGTGGGTGGTGGGTAGGGGGGTATGGAGGATAGGGGATAAGGGGGTAAGGGGATAAGGAGGGGTAGGGAGGGGTAAGGGGGATAAAGAGGGGTAGGGATAAGGAGGGTAAAGGGGGTAAAGGGGGGTAGGAGGGAAGAGTAGAACCTATTATCTTTAAAACCTTGACTCCGATCTTTGACAATCGACCTTTTGGGATCTAAAATACATAACAGATTCAGATAAATACCACTATCATGAATATATGTATACCAAGAATACATAGTATAGCTCAAATACATGTATACATATCTTGACCAACCTATTCATGGGATGTCGTTGGCTTCAGTATATTATGGGTCTAAGAATATACTGTAGTCCCGAGTGGGTATATTCATGAATGTAAACAATGACCTTGGTAAGAATATCCACAGTAAGAATATCGAGTCATTATACTAGTTTTTAGTAAGATGCCTCAATAATGAATACAACCTATGAAGTATACTGGCCATAGGGAATATTACCTATAAGTATAACCTATAGTGAGTATTATTTTATAGGGATAGTCTACATTCACATCCTAATCTCATCCATAATCTCACTTCCTTAATCCCTAATCTCGCTTCCTATTTTCGATACAAGAACTCCTCATCGCTAATATTAGACTTTTAATTCGCTATCTAATCTCACTCCCTCGTCTCTATAACAAATGTACTTGATAATCTCACTCCCCGTAAAATACTAATCTCATCTTTTAATTTCACTCCTAAACTCCCTCGCTAATCTCATTCCGCCATGTCCTTAAATATCAGCTGTCTTTTTTCGCCCAATCTCACACCCAAGACCACAACTATTCTCGAGCCTAATCTCACTTCTCTCACCTTCAATTTAGCCCAGATCTCAGTTCAGGCGTGACAGTGATTGTGGTGTGAGTGATTGGGGAGGTGAGGGGGACGGTGAGGGGCGGTGAGGGCGGTGAGGGGGCGGTGAGGGGGACGGTGAGAAGGGGTGAGGGAGGGATGGGGTGGCGGAAGTGCTGGGGTGGGAGACAGAGGGGGAGGTGGGAGAGAGACGAAAGAGGGAGAGAGGTGGGAGACAGTAAGAGCAGGGAGGTAATGGGGTAAAAGTTCAGGGTGTTGGGTGGGTTAGGAGAAGGAGGGAGGGAGAGAGAGGGAGGATATCTGCCAAAAGGGTGAAGCGTTATCCCCAAGAGAATCATCCAACGACACTATAAACTGGCACTGATGAAAACACACACACACACACTCACGGGGTGTGTATTAGACTCACACCTGTCCTGGAATGCCTGTATCACCTGTCACTGTGTGTGTGTGTGTGTGTGTGTGTGTGTGTGTGTGTGTCTGTATTCTGTTGTTCTCCGTACACATCTGACAGATCTCCATCTCTGTCTGTGAGGTTGTCTGTTACTAAAGAACGACTCGATTGTCTATCTGTCTATCTGAGAAGAATCGTTGAGGAGTATCTGATGCCAACACCAAGCAGTCAGTTGATAAAAACAAACTGGCCACCCGCAGTCAGCTGATTATGTCAAAACAAACCCTCCCTCTCGCCCATGGTCCACCCAGGGCTTAAATCCTGAGCAAACAAATTAGATACTTAGACAATACACACACACACATACACTCTAACACACATACACACACACACACTCGCATTACAACACACACACACACACACACACACACACACACATTCTCTCTTCTTTCTCCTCTTCACCACCTTCATAGTTCAGGTTTGATACAACTTTTTTTAATCTACGACTCTCAGGATTGATTATGTTGGGAGAGGAGGAGGAGGAGGCAGGAGGGGAAGAAAGGGGACAGGAGGGGTAAGGAAGGGGGCAGGAGGGGGTAAGGGGGCAGGGAGGGAATAGAAAGGGGGGGCAGGAGGGTAAGAAAGGGGGGGCAGGAGGGGTAAGGAAGAGGGCAGGAGGGGTATGAAGGGGGGAGGGAGGGGTAAGAAAGGGGACAGGAAGGGTAAGAAGGGGGGGGCAGGAGGGGTAGGAATGGGGGGGGAGGGCAGAAGGGGCAGGAGGGGTAAGGAAGGGGGGCAGGAGGGGAAGGGAAGAGGGCAGGAGGGGTAAGGAAGGGGGGAGGAGGGGTAAGGAAGGGGGGCAGGAGGGGTAAGGAAGGGGCAGGAGGGGTAAGGAAGGGGGGGGCAGGAGGGTGGGAAAGAGGAGGCAGGAGGTTTGAGGAAGAGGATGCTGGAGGTGAGGGAAAAGGAAGCGGGCAGGAGGGAAGGAAGAGGACAGTGAAGAGGAATGAGGAGATAGGGAGAAAGAGAAGACAGAGAGAGAAAGGGGGGTAAAAGGGTGATGACGACGAAACGAATGGGGAGAATTAAGAAGGAGAGAGGGAAAGGAAGAAGGGGAAGGTGGAAGGTGGAGATGGGAGAGGGACAAAGGGTTAGGGGGCAGAGAAGGGCCAAGAAGGTGAGAGGAGGGGGCCAGGGATGAAGGAAGGTGGGGTGGGGAGGAACGAAAGACAGGAAGTAGGGGCGTGGGAGGGGATGAGATTGGAGACGAGAGGGGCAGGAAGGTAATGGGTGGAGGTAAGGGAAAGGGGAAGGGAGGAGGGGCAGGAAGGGGGGGAGAGGGCAGGATAAGAAGAGAAGGGAGGTGGGGAAGGGGAAAGGGGGGAGAGGAGAGGGAAAGGAGGGAGAGGATAGGGAAAGGAGGGAGACAGGTGGAGAGGGAAGGGAGAGGAAGAGGGTAGGGAGAGGGGTTAGTGTATTGTGTCAGCATCAGAATCAAACATAATTTCCTCAACCAGCATAAGAGATCCTTCACGCCTCCTCCACACTGAAGGGCCTTACGTGATCCAGGAGGAGGGGGAGGAGGGGGGAGGAGGAGGAGGAAGTTGGAAAGCAGTGTAGAGAGAGAGAGAGAGAGAGAGAGAGAGGCAGAAGGCAAATGATAGGCAGTATGAGAGACGGGGGGCAACACACACACACACACACACATACACACACACACACACACACACACACATATCAAATAAAACCAAGTACAAAATAAGGAAAAAATATATATACAAGAGAAGAATTTTCCTGATGATGAAACGATACAGATTCAACACTAGGAAAGAAAGTACAGGTAAGACTAATTAATTTAAAACACAGGTATACAGGTAGAGTCATGGCCAGGTGGTGAAATATTAAAATAAGTATAAGTACATTATTAGACTTGGTTAAGTATGTCCGTATCTGTACAGTAAAGGAGACCTACTTATAATATATTCGTATAGCGAGGGATTAA